ATTCCCCAGCCGGCTGGGGAATTCTGGGTGTTGAAGTCCCCACCTCTTAAAGTTGCCAAGGTTGAGAAACACTGACCTAGGTAGACCAGACAAGGAAATCCACATATATTGTCTTTTCTCCATTGCCCTTCTCCTTTCTGCCTATTAAAAAGAAGCCAACAGCTTCTGCATATCTCCATCAAGGTCATTTTCCTTACTCTCTGCATGCTGAATTTTTAGCTCCCTTTTCCCCCAAAGTAGCTCTTGAAAGTTACTGATGTAAGAATAAAAGGGAATTCTCATATATTAAGTCAAGTGTTGCCTGTAAGCAGAAGATAAATTTTGGAGGGGAAGATGAACAAAAATCATCATCTAGACTAGAACTTGAGTGTCCTTTGCAAGAATATCTCCCAAGGGACTAAAGAGGTTTCTCAAAAGAACTACCTCCTTCCCTTCTGAAACTAAGAGGAAAATTATATTTCTATCTGAATCCAGTGAGGAAAAGCAGCAATACTCACCCAATTTTGCTCGTCCTCTTCCCGTGTTACTACAATTACTTCACCCTTGGAGAAAGTCAACTCCCGGGCCTTGTCTCCCTTGCAGTCAGCCAAAGCCTTGACTCGCTTTAACCGTCCCTTGGCCTGTGTTAGGCAGAACAGTCATTATCAGTTCTAAGATGAGACCCTTTTCTTCCCCAGGTGGCTTTCATGGCTGAAGAAGCAGAGAACTGACAGCCGTGCTGGGTGCAAACGCATTTGCACGAGAGTAGCTGCGGTGTTCTCTGCCCTAATGAACCTTCAAAAAAACCTCTCTAAGTTGCTTTGATCATAGGGCACAACTTGGGCAATGTGTGGACTTTAATTCCCAGAATTCCCCAGCCAACATAAGCATTGCTGAGAATTCTGGGAAATGAAGTCCATACATTTGGACCCAGGTTGGGGAAAGTTGCAAGAACAGGTAAAGCCTCCCTGAAGTCAAACTTAATTCCTAGAGACTTGATATGTTCATGTCATTTTGGCAGCAGTAGAGAAATGGTGGTCTTTACATTCCTTCTGGACCTCCCTGGTATTCTCTTGAAACTCCCCTCCAAGTTGCAACCCTCCCTAACTTCTGAACCTCAACAAAATTGGCTAGATGATACAATAGCTGGGTTTAACTTTTGTTGCCGTTCCCTGCATTCTTACTATAAGTCTAATTTTTTTTCAACCGGCTCTCATTGTTATCTTTTAAGCCCTCTGGAGAATCTTGGCTATAGGGATATACCCATCTCCGTTTTATGTGCATAGATATAAATGAACCACAATTTTAGCTGGAAGAGTCACTGCTTTAAAAATGGAAAGCTGACACATTCACATACGTGTCTGAATCGACAGGTCAGTCTTTCAGATTCTGGAGCCGTAACACAAATGGGAATTCAAAGCTGATTCCTATCGCTTGCCAACATAGTATTACTCTACACCCGCTACCGTCTATAAAACACATGGCAGATCCATCACTGTCTCTTGGCAGTCACGTGTTCTTGTTTTGAAACTTGGAGGAAAATGCCACCCTCTTTCCCCCTAGCTTTCTGAAATTGCTGCCATCAGCTCTAAGGCTGAAATGGATACCTATCTATAACTGACCCCAGACTGGTGCCCAGTGATACCATGTATACTAATGCTGGGTAGAAAGGAGACTCCCAACCCCAGACCAGGTTGCTCGAACTATGAAAAAGCACAACCTCTTGCTATCTCTCCAAAACTCACTGGAGCAAATCTTCTTGGTGTTGGCACAGGCAGAGGTGTGGGCCCGGGCATCACAGTTTTGCACAAAGGCGCTTCTTCTGGGCAACTGGGGCTCTGCGGGGAAAGGGGGGTGCCAGGAAATTTACCCATCGAGCTGCTACTAATCCGTCGATAGGATCTGGTGCTCTCTGAGCTGTAGGAGAAAAGAAGCTGGCTTAGAAATCTTGCCGGGTGGTGGGAAGTTTCTTCTCTTATGACTGTCGAAAGGGATTCCTGTTCAGCGTGGGAAATTGACTTTCTAAGCTAATGGTCCATCCCGCCTTCATGGTAAGAATGGTTTAGTAATGGAATGGGCTTCCTCAGGAGAAGGACTCAGTGGCCAGTTCTTGGGGATGCTGCACTGGTGGGTTCCTGCACTGAGCAGAAGGGTGGATGATCTCCAAGCATCTTTCCCACCCTTCCATTCTGTAACATTCACTTGGCCGCCACACAGAGACTGGGTTCATATGTTGAGTTAAGCCGTAGTGAACACTGAACAAGTCCCAGTGGTTTAAGTTCAGACAGAACTCTATGCCATAAGTCATTGCTTACAAACCATGGTTTCTGAACAACATGCAAAGTCAACATGAAAAGTACCACATTGTGGCTTAACATGGGATATGAATCCTGCCAAAGCATGGTAATCTCTGAGGAAGACATGCAACTGGTGGAACCAGGAACTAATGAGATCAGGGAAAATGTAAGACACCAAGCCAGGAGCATGCTAGAACATGAAACATTTCAATGTAACAAACTGGAAAATAGACAGCAAAGTGTAATAGACATTGTTGTTTAGGCTTGCCACTGCTACTAGATGGGCAACTACTGTCTACTCTAAACTCTACTGTCAACTAGATGGGCGGGAAGACTCCTTCCTCACCGAGATCCTGAAAGCAACTTCTCTGTGAAGAAGAAGAGCATTTGCTTTGAGGATAACGGTGTCCTCCATTTCTTCATTTGCAACCCATTCCCATCATAAATCATAATTATCGAAACCCCAAAACATTAACAGCTGGTTCCTAGTTTATCTCATGTTCCTTTTCTCTCCCCACTCTTCTTTTTATGCTGTACATTTTGAGTTTGGTCAAAAGTGTACTTTGTTTTTCCTTGTTGATCAATCAGCAAAACTTACAGTAGAAGATAGAAGCCCCTTTGATACAGATGTTAGAATAATTTCTATGCTTATACCGTAAGGATGGGGAAAGCTGAAAGCTGCTGCTAATAAGATGCTCAACTTACAACTGATAACTTCTGATCTCACCTGAACCTGACTGGGGGCGTTTGTCCTGGTTCAGGAGAGGTTCTGGGGGAAGGCTGCAGGGCTGTCATCTGAGTAGGCTCTGATCTTCGCCGTTGGGATGTACCCTCGACTTCGGAGCAGGTTTCCCAGTAGGCTGTGCCTTTGACTTCCATAGAATTACGAAAGTTGGGTGGTTGCCGGAATGGGCCACCATCCAACACACCAGGGATGCTGGAAATAGATGAGTTCCAAATATCGGGGCTATCTGGTGAATGGGGCAGTGATTCAGAGGCATCTGAAAAGCAAGGGGGAAGCAATCACCTGTGTGAGCAGCAGCTCTAAACAGCTGCATTACATTGGCAATGTACCCAGCCATTATTAGAATAATGCCCAAGATCTTGCCCACCAAGATCTCAAGTCCTATCATTTCACATCACTGGTAATTCGGGCTCCAGTTATTGAGCACTCTAGTTCAGCAATATCTTTAGGGTCATACCTTTGTCATCCCTAAACTAGAAGATATCAGACATTGTTCTTAATATGTGTTGTAAAAATGTTGGATACGCAATCCCAAAGGATGCTACCACCATCCTATCCGAATGAGTGGGACTGCAATGCACACCTTTGCCCATGAGAAGAATAGCAAGCTTTGGCATTTCCCCTGGTTGGCTTGCCAACATGTCTTGTTTTACCTAGTTTTGGTTTGCTACTCCCTTTGGGAGGCTTTTTGAGTGGCAATGGTGGGGGGTTCTCCTCACTGGTTGAGCTTCGCTGACCAGACTGTGAAGGGATCACAATGGTCTCGTAGGTCTTGTTGCTGATATCCATGCCAGAGCAGCCCCACCGACTTGAAGGAAAGAGAGTGGACTGGCCGGTGGTTGGAGATGGTGAGGACCCAAAAGATCGCTGCAGTGGGCTCACCTATCAGACAAAGCAGCAGATGTGATCAGGACCTGAAAACCTCCCAGCCACCTGCCCAGTATATCTTCTGCTTTTCCTTCATCCGTCCCCAGTACTCTTATACCATCCAACCCTTCCCTAAAGAACTATGACCGAATCCAAGAACTGTTTGGCATTTGATACACTCCAGACCTTTACGACTGAAAATAAGGAAACAAATAAGATGATAGGAACAGGGCAAACTTGAAAGGTGGGGGGACACCAGAGAAACAAAGCTAAGAAGAGCCTGGCAGGATCAGGCCAAAGGTCCATCTAACCCAACATCTTACTTTCTATTGTGGCCACCTGGCCCAGGGTGAACCCAGAGGCAAAATATAAAGCCAATATCCCTCTCCCTTTGTTGCTTCCCAGAAATTGCCATGTATCCTCTAAACTGGAGCTTGCAGAGGATGGGGAGGAAGTAGTGAGACAAAAGAAACACATAGAGTTAGATGAGGAGAAGATGGGGGCCTCCTAACTGAAGCAACATTCAATATATGTTCCCACAGCATGCTTAAGCAGGCCAGGTAAGATTTAGCAGATTCATTTGTACAATATACTGAGCTAGTTTAGGGTGAACCTTGGTTAGTTTTCTAGGTGGCTTAGCATGTGGTGCAAAATCAGCCTATTTGGTTGATTTTATGGTTCAGCAGAAGAGGAGTTAATTCAATCAACAGCTTAAGAACACAGAGGGAATGCAGCCAATGTGTGGAAGACCCCTACAAAACCCTTCTTTGTACAGCCTAAGGTTCATCAACCTGGCCCAGCCCTCTGGTGATCCATTTCTTAGCCAACTAGAGGAAGCTGAAGGAAACTACAGGCAGAGCTCTAATATCACTGCCCTGTTTCTTGATAGAAAGAACGACTGGCACAGGACTAGCCCGCCTGGAACACCGTAAGGTGTGACCCACCAACATAAGGAGTTGTTATCCCAGCACCTTTTCATCCAGCTCATCGTCACTGTCATAAGAGAACTCCTGAGACGTTTCCCAGTCATAGTCCACGTGCATCTGCATAGCCAACCTCCCTGCCTGGGCCTGCTCCAGCTATCACAAAAGAATAAAAAGAACATCCTTAGTCAGTTCACCTTCTAAGAGCTCTTCTATTTCTTCAAAGGCTATGAGGGCATTCTCCAGGCTCACATCAAGCCTAAGCCAAAGGGAATCCTCTGCCTTAGGCAGCAGTCTGAGAAAAGCCCACCTCCCTTTGGACCTCCCATTCAGAGCTGATTGGCCCAATATCTTGTTCTAACAAGTCAATGACCTTCAGGATAGTTGCTCTCTCCAACATCTCAGTCTAAGTAGTCCTCAAGTGAGACCCTCCTGCTGCAGAAAAGTTGCCAATGCAGCATGACCACTGGTCAGGAAGGATGGGCATTGTGAAGTAACAATATCTGGAAGGCACAATTCTCCCACCTCAGCTCTGAAGCCCCCTTACCTCCACCTACCAAGTCTTTGCACTCAGCATGCTTGAATCTTCTTGCCATATCCAGAGGTGTTTCACCTGCTGCATTTACTGGAGGAGGAGAACCAAAAGGACAAACCAATCTGAATCTGGAGATTTTCAAACAATGTGCTCCAGAAACATCTAGGACAGCTGCACCATAATTTTTGCATGGTGTGTAGAGACTTGCAATCCATAGGGATAATCACATAAAGCTTATTATACATTTTAATAGAGGTATGACTGGTATCACACCCATCAAATCCCAGTCACCCAATCTTCCTGTTTTTGTTCACCATATTATTCATTTGGTCAAAGAATGCATTTCTTTTTAAAGAATCCCAAAACTTTTCCATGGAAAAAGAAGTGTGAGCTTTTCTGAATCCACACCACTACATCTCGCAAGACATAGCAAAGAATAAAATTGAAGCAAAGGAAAACATTCTCAGCCAACCTGTAAAAGTCCATTGACGGGAACTGACCAAACTTTTGGTATTTTATTTTTATTTCAGTACTGGCAACGGGTTCCAGGCTTCGATCATGCTGAGAACAGTAGGCAGGTTTGGGGCTATAAAACCAGCTTGGCACACACAGCTTTATCCACCAAGAAAGCAAGAATGGCCAAGAGCCTCAGGAAGAAAATGTGCCAGTGTTGCTTCCAACCATCTGCCATGCAAGCTGGTTGCTTCACTTTGCCTTATGGTAGGGTTGGCCACAAAATCCATTGCAATGAGATTCTGAAGTTACTAATCCTTCTCCCTCAGTTTCCAGCCAGGTGGGCCTCCTACCTGCATTTGTAGAAGCTTTCCCTTTCAGCAACAACTTGATGCAATTGGGTTGATTATACTGGACTCCATAGTGTAAGGCTGTGTTCCCATCTGCAGTGGGTCGGTCCAGATTTCCCCTACATGCAGGTAGATAGCAAAGTGTTTGTTTTTTTTTAAAGTTTGATAGATTGTGGAAAAATTAGGTTCTTAAAAAGGACACAAGACACATTCTTTCAATTTGCACAGTTGCACGGGGAATGGATCTGTACTTCAAAACTGGCTGCAAACAGAAACACAGCTTTGTTTCAATAGCCACCCCCTTTCTCCCCAGTTCTGGCAGTGCAATCTTCCAATCATTTGTACAAATATATCTCTCTAAAACATTGCAAATAAATTTGCAGATGGGGTAAAGCAAACAGAGGGTTGGGGGGGAAAAGGCAGAATTAAAATGGACAGCATCTATTGCAAACTGGACCAGGAGTCTAAATAAGTAGAGATGCTCTTTGCTCTGAAAGCATGTGGACAAGGCCAGGGCGTTTAATTCTTTCTCTCTGCTCACACAGATCTAATCATACTAGGAACAGGAGAAGACTTCCCAGAAGATGTCCTGGAATCCAGCTACAGAGTCCTCCAAACCAAGACTTACCCGTTCTGAATAATGAAATCCACCAATGGAAGGGAAGTTTTGTTGGCGTAGCGCACAGCCCAGTGCAAGGCCTGTTCGCCTTGTTCCTATCAGAAAAAAAAGGAGCAACATTTTGCAAAACCTTCTATGATAAAGGTCAACTCAGAAAAAAAGAAAAAGAAAATGAACCCCAAAGACATCTGAATTACATTACACCAAGGTAACATTACAGGATGTTTCACACTTATCAGCGGTGGGCTGCTGCACACTTCTGTCCTAAGAGATCCAACCCATAATTGTCCATTCTTTTGTCAAGAATACCTATGCCACAGTGACCATTAGCCAGATAAAACCACAAAAGATATTTTCCACACTCGTTGTAAAGTACCAAGAAATGCATGTGGGTGTTAACAAGAGACAGAATTAATCAAAATCCTATGATGGTCATTTCCAGCTAGGGTATAGTCAACTATGCTCAATACTTGGGGCACCAACATCCTTTGCAGTTTTCTTCACATCTTACATGGGAAATCTAGTTCCTTCCTTCACACATAAGTCCAAGATTTAACCCCCTACTGAAAGTATTTCGGGTTGCCTTGATGGAGAAACACAAGTAAGGACAAGACAGAAAGAGCAATCAGGACCACTCTCCTCCTTGGTTTAATTCAGGCAATGTGTTTAACTCTAAAGCCAGGATAACTGACTACAAGTGCTGTGTTCATATTATGCATCGTGCCCAGATGAAGAAACCACAGTATGGCTTGATATAACAACCTGGTTCACCCAACATGCTGAGTTCTCACCAGACAATGGACCACAAAATGCTCAACCCCATTGTAGCCTAGCCTAACATCCTGTGTGAACCCGCCTCCAAATCAGATAAAAAAGTGATATGCAAAAGTGCCCAAAACATCAGGCAAAAATGCCAAGCTGCAAACAGGAGGGAAAAAATAGAAAGCATAATGCATTTTCTTTTCCAGATGCAGCAATCCACTACCAAGGCTGTAAGTGGTATAAACTGCTCAAGTCTTGTCTTTCCTCCTTTTTTTAAAGAATCTAATTTCAAAGTCTCCATCATTAGAGAGGGAGGGAGAGAAGAAGTGATAGCTTTAAGTTTGTAACCCAACAGCCATATCTAAAACTCTGCCCATGGCCGTGGCCATAGTAGCATGAGAGGTAGGACTGGGTACAGCAGCTATGGGAACAGAGGCTGTGCAGGAGACAAACTCCACTGAGTTGGCAGCTGGCCAACTTAGTGGTTTAAAGCAGGTATCAGCATCAAGGTACCCATGGACTCCAAAGTGGCATCTCTTACTCGTTTCCCCATAAAATCAAGTTTTTAACAATAGCCAGTATGAAAGAACCAAACTCTCAGAAGATCTTGGTCACTACAGTGCCCAGGCACAATAAAATTTGCCTGGTTTCAAGATGAAAACTTTCATGTAAGAAAAAAAAATACATAAATAAAAATCAGGAATAAGTGAAGGTCATGTTTTTACTGACTTCTGTTGCTTGGGCCTCGCTTTGTCCTACTTACCTGACCTTCAGGGTTCACTAGAGGTTTGGAGAGATCATGGCCTTCAGCAAAAGCCTGGAGCAGTGCCAAGAGATCCCTGTTTCGAATAGCTTCCCAGAGCCGGTAAGGCTCTTCCTTGGCAGCTTTGTGAACATACTTGCGCTCCATATACTTTGCCATGATGAATTCCTTCCTGGAAATCCTGCATTTGGGAAGAGGAAAACTTCTCCAAAAGTGTTTTCTAGACCTTAGAGAAGAGGTTCACGAGAAGATCTTCCATTACTTTCAATGGGTAGACGCTTCTCTATCCCTCCCTGCTTAATACCAAGTAACTGGTATTTAGAGGCACGGACTGCCAAGATTTGGAAGACTGAAGGCGGCTGTAGGTACGATGCAGAGATGCATCAAGTCCCGGAGGAGGGTACTTTGAAGCCCAAAGGCCTGCTGCTAAGCATGACCCAAAATGTAGCCCATGTGAAGGAACAGATACTGTGTGCAGAGCATCCATCATAATTTTGAGACTGCAGGTGGCTAGACTTATGACTAGTCTGGAAAGCATCCAGCTGGGGAAAGCAAAGGAGCAGATTTCTAAGCATCAGAGACTTGGATACTTCAATCCATTGCACTGAGGAGTCAGAATGTGGCTTGGGTAGCCACATTCAAGTTTTCCTATCAATGAATGCTGATTTTGAAAATAAACAAATATAGATAATATACATATATCTGGACAAGACTAAGAAGCAGAAAGGTTTTTTTGCAATTGGCAACAGCCAGTTCAAATTTCCATAGGTTCTTTTTTAAAAAAACAGGGCTGTGCCCATCCTATGCCAAACCACATACCCAAGTCCTGACCTTACCCTTCATCCTTCTTCTTCTTGGATCCCAACCACAGAGATGGGGCCCAACACTCTTCCCCAAGTTTTCCCTCCTCAGATGCTTTCCAAAGCCTTCCCCCATCCCATCTCTGCCCCCCAAGGCAAGGCCCATTCCCACTCACATATCGCTGCTGGAGGAAGGTTTGGGGTTGTTCTGGCCTGGCAAGGTGGCTTCCATGACTTCATTAAACTTGGCGTTTCCAATGCTGACTGCCAGCTGTGAGTGAGACAAGGGCCACTGTGTCACTGGCAGGAGGGGAGCCATCATATGAAAAGTCAAGAGCATCCACAAGGTAAGGTGAAAACGGAGGCAAGAGGCTGAGAAAGAGTCGGGGTGCTATTCTCTATCCACCTATCTTTGCTAACTGGAAGAAAGTTTGGATATTATTATTGGCGGTGATGGTGGTGGTCGTCATCACACAGTCAGCCAGAGCTTTAGACTAGATTAGGCCTTTTTATCCACCTATCAAGTGCTTCCCAAGGACTTGAGATAGGCAGATGTTGTTTGATGGTGTTAGAGATATTGTCGCATTATTATTATTATTATTTCCTGCCTTTCCTCAGGAGCTCACCCAGCACTCTCTCCTGCGTTTTTTTCCTCCCCAACCACCCCCGTGAGATAAGCTGGCTTGAAAGAGAGTGACCAGTTCAAAGTCAGTTTCCATGGCTGAGTGTGGACATGAACCTCAGTCTCCCTCACTCTGTCCAATACCTTAACCACACCATCACATTGGCTCAGTTTTGCAATCAAAGTGGTGCATTTATTTACTGATACATTTATTTATTAGATTTATACCTCACTTTTGCTTCAGAAGTGCTCTTGCCTCTCGTTTTCCCCACAACAATCTTGTGAGGTAGGTTGGATTGCGAGAGAGCCCCTGGCGGCTAAATTGACTTGTTTTATTAAAGAGGGGACAACAACTCCTTTTATAAAAGACTGGAAACCCTTTATTTTTACTTATTTATTTATCGTATTTATATAGCCGCCCATCTCACATAAAAGTGACTTTATGGACTTTTTGCTGAAATTGGATAAAAGTGAATGGGTGATGTCGGGATTTATTGATTAAAAAGGTTTGTTTATGGGAAGAAGGGAACTATGACATGTCTTTTGGGAGGGTGGAAATGGTAATTACTATGTTTGTAGCTGCTGCAAAGATCAGAAGTTGCTTCTTTAGATGTCTTTTTCTTTTGTTATCTTTCACTTTTTTTCATATTTCATTCTTTTTTTTCCCTAATTTTCCTTCTATGTTTCTGTAGTTTTTTTAATCTTATGTACAATTTTATTTTAATAAAAAGTATGTTTAAAAAAAAGACAGAGAGAGCACCTGGCTGAAAACTTCTATGGCTAAGAAGGACGTGAACCGAGCTCACCTGTTCCTAATTCAGTACCTTAACTGCTACAACACCCCGTTTCTCATCATGTACATTCCACTCAGCTAGTTTTAAAACCTATTGTCATCCTTATAAATATCTGGTCTCTGCTAGGTTTGGCTTTCTCAGAATGTCTAGTAAGTTCAGGATGCCCCAAAACGTGATGGTGAAGAAGCACCTCTGGCACTAATGCACAAGAGAAGAAGTGGGAGTCAAAGAACAGCAGAAAGGGCACGTTCTCTCCAACCTGGGAGGTAGCACTTACCAACAATTCCGATGTGCTGAGCACATCTAGTGTCAAAGACTGGATGCGGGAATAGTGCACCCCTAACTCACGGTGAATCCCTGAGCACTCGATACATGTCAGGATGCCAAGGTTGGTGGAGAGCCATGTGGGATCTGCAAGACAACAACCCAGGAGGAGGCTGTGACATGCACATGATGACACGTCCTTCCCCCATACATTCTGCAAACAGACAGTTCCTTCCCGGCTTGATGGAACACAAAACATGCCCCAGTTCTCAACTGAAGATGGGGCGTTCTTTGTTGCCTGCCGAGACCTTTCGAAATCTGTACTTAAGGCCATTAAGCAATGCCTGCTGCCACAGCTGCCATGTAGAATGCTCTTGATCTGGATTCTACAGCTGCGCCATTTTTCATTCTCTCTCCCCTGCCTTTTCCCCGCCTGTCCTTCACTACACTGATGATGGACATTTGCAGAGGGTAACTGATGAGGCACTTGTATCACAGAACCAATTTAGGCCACCGGAGTGGTGGAAAAGTTCATCCTGCTCTCTCAGTGTTCCAGTGTTCTCATCAGTCCCAAGTCCCCAAAGTATAAATGCTTGAGCACATGCCAGCCCTTGCATAAAAATGGATACAGTGGGCTGCTGCAACCCACCTGGGGCTCCACAGTCACAGCACCGTCTGTTTCCTGGCATGTTTTTCACTTCGTCGATGATAAGCTTGGTGAGTTCTTGCAATCCGCTGTCAGCCATGCCTCCAGCTGAAGACACGCAGCCTCCTGGGTCCCCCTTGAAAGCATTGCTAAGTGCTTCATCCTTACTGTTCTGGAGCACTGACACCCACCTAGCCAATGGAAGAAAGCATCAACCAGGATCCAAGTGATAGAATGTGGGAAGCCAAAATATAGGTTGTAAATGCAAATTTTGTAACTATTTAATCCAAAGGCCAGAATTCACATCGGTATATTTACGTGTGTGCTTGTACACCGTCACTGAGAAGGGGATTTTCGCATACTGTAATCAGCCACTCTGGAATGTTGGATCCCATAAATAGAGCAAATGGGTGGATCAGAGTCAAGTCCTTAGGTTTCTGAATTATTTCTCCTATTTATCATGCAGCAATGGCATATATATTATCCCTAGGTGGTAAGTTAAGTTCCTTTTGGCCACATTCCCTCCTCATGAAGCCACCAGAAGAGGACAACAAGGAAACAGACGTTGTAAACACATTTCATGAAAGGCCTTGGCTTAGCAAGTTAAGCACATGTATTGGCACACCCTCCAGATGTGTGGACTTCAACTGCCAAATTCCAAAGCCAACATGGCCATTACTAAGAATTTTGGGAGTTGAAGTCCACACACGTGGAGAACTTCTAGGTTAAGGAAGGCTGATGTAGACAATGGTCCATGTACATCTGCTGAAGTAGATGGATCAGTGAAGATGCCTTGTGAGGTATGGTAGCTGGAGCAAGAGACCAGAAATGGGGAAATCCTTCACACCTAAATCAGTTGTGATGTTCACTACCCAGTTCTTCCATTCCATTAATTCTAGTCTGATGTTCCAGCCATTACACCACATAATGCTCATGCTACTCATTATGGTGCAGCAGATGGCACTGGGTGCCAACCAGATTTGGCCATTCAGACACAGAGCTAATAAGTTGACTTTTCTTTCTCTAACCTGCTTCACAGCATTAATGATGAGATAAAAGAAGGTAAATTCTCATGAATGCCATCCTGGCTTCTTTGAAGATTAACAGGATGCAAATATTCATAGATGCAAATCTAATACACCATGCCTTATGTCAGGGATGAGCAAGCTTGGATTTTCCACACATTACTGGACTGAAACTTCCATTCTTGACCATTCCATCCATATTTTCTGGAGCCAACAACACCTAGAGCTTCCCCCAGCTCTGCCTGTGTCTCATCTCAGCTGTTGGACAAACTCCTCTATTTGTTAATGTCTGTGCTAGATTAGTCATACCCCACCTTTTTAGCAGCCTCTGCTGTTGATAACCCTTCCCTGCAACTACTTTATCAAGATATTTCACCTCTCCATCTGCCTTCACTAGCTCTCTAACTTGCTCAATGATTCTACACATTTGGCAGAAAGAAACAGTTGATTCTGTTTGGTGTCCAGTTCTTAATACCTTACACAAATATCAACAGCCAAAGTAGAAGAGATAAGGCACCCTGCCCTAATCCAAACTTCACTCCTCAAGTAATATTTCTAGCTCGGACAAAACTTACAGTTCTCCCATTTGAAATGCAACCACAGGGAAGAGACAGCAAGCCACCCAACTTACACTATGCAGTCTTGCTCATCTTCTGCTTGGAAGTGGTATGTCCGATTGTCTGCAAAGAGAAGAAACAAGAGAATCCGTTGAAGATAAGAAATGAATAAATAAAAGTGCTTGCACTTAAACAGAATCCAGTCTTTAAGATTAGTGAGAAATGCTGGACAGAGGGCAGAGATAACCTAATGAAACCAAATACCAGATTTGCAAAGGAACTTGCACTGTTTTTTCAGCTTTTTCTACACACACATACAGCTGTCCTGTTCCCCATCAGCAGCTGCCCAAAGCCCAAGATTGTGTTGTAAAAATTCATCAGCAAAATGCCTTATTTTTGGCAGCATGGCTTTATTTATGTCTTAAGTAAGAGTGGTTATAGGACTGGGAGACCTCCAGAGACCAAAACTCTTGCTTATTTATCCTAAAATATTCTGAATCATGCAATAGGATTTTGGCAATTTTGCCACTGAATTTTAGTAATACAATTTGGGGCTTTTCTGGGCACAGTCCAGAACCCTGTCCTATGGATTCATACCTGGTAGAAAAATTAGCTATATCCATCATTAATACAATGGTTTTCCCTGTAACACTCTATGGAAGCAAAAATTGGACTTTGAAGAAGCCAAATATAAACAGTACTGTCATTTTTGAATGTTGGTGTTGGAGAAAATTCTTGAGAATACCATGGATAGCCAAGAAAACAACAAACAGATCACAGAACAAATCAGTCCAGAGTTGTCACTCAAGGCATAAATAACTAGGCTCTTATATGGTAGTTATATAAATGATTACCATATTTTGGAGACATTATGTGAAGACCTAGCTCTCTGGAGCCGTCCATAAAGCTGAGAAAAGTGGAAGGAAAGAGAAGAAAAGGACAACCAGCAGCAAGGTAGATGGACTCAACTGAATCAGTGATGGGGGCACCATTGGAAGACCTGAAGAACCAGGTTGGGGACAGATCATCCTGAAGAAAATCTATCTATGTGATCGCTAAGAGTCAACACCAACTTGATGATGTGTAATCATCATAATCATATCAAATTGGAGCATTTAACTGAAGGGCCAAAAGACTTTGTACTGAATCTATTGTTCAGCAATGACTTAACTGAAGGGTGGAACAAATTCTTATCAAATGTTGATGGATAGGAATTAGTTAACGTGTCCCAAAAGCAGAATATTATCAAAACAAAGCTCTACATTTCAGAAAGGTGTATATAGGACTTGGGATATACACAATGGTGTCTGCAAAAGAGGCAAGATGGTGGACGTGGCAGCATGTTTCAAGTTATGCTCCTTTTGTGCATGCGTCAACACATGTACTGAACAGTGGGGCTTTGATTGTGCTATCACACCCACAAACTTGCCTCTTTTTGACCTGCTCTTGGAGATGCTGCTGGATAGATAAATTGTAATCTAAGCATGGGTCAGCAGTCCAATGCAACTGCAGATGATGATGATGATGATGATGATGATGATGATGATGTTGTTGTTGTTGTTGTTGTTTTAGGCTGTATTAACAAACCCTGGTTTTCAAGTCATGGAAATTAATAATTCCACTAGTCAGACACAAAGGGAAAAATTCATGAACAGTGTCGACAAATTGGGAAGAGTTTAGAATGATGACTGTTATTGGCAGACAGGCCACATTTGCCAATAAGTAGAGTCCTGCATATGTTTCACTCTAAAAAAAAAAAATCCCTACATTTCACAGCTATGATGAGTGGGTGGTGATATAATTCCTTGTCACTTTAATCCAATTCTAATCACTTCAAATAACTTTCTCCAACCAATTTTAAACTGAGCATGAAAGAAATGCGAGAAAAAGCATTCTGTCCTGAGCTATTCTGGTATAAGATATTCAGAGAGGACAATACAGCCCAAGTATTATGATAAAATATTTACTTACGTGTCACAAGATCAAAGGACTTTTTATCCTCTGGATGAGGCCTCACTTGGCAAGTCAACAGATTTAACTTTACAGGAGGACGGTTTATCTGTTCAAGAAAAGTTGAGACAATGGGCTAGTATATCTGTCAAGAACAAGTATTTCCTAGTTCATTTATCACATTCTTAAATTGAATAATAATGGACAAATATAACCAATAAATCAGATTATTGACATTTACTCTTATTCTATATTAAAAACATGTATTTGCTGAGTAGCACAGAAGAATGCAACAGGATGTAAAGCAGAGAATATAATCAGACAGTAAAGACTGAAAGTTTTAAAAGCCTGGAAATATAAAGAAACCTTGGCTATCGTTTCACCAAATTTCTCAGTGAATTAGTTTCTTAAGACCGCCTGGAAAATTTGAAGCTGCTGTCATATAGACATCTCAGTGGATTTGTGTACAACTTAAAAGATTTTTAATACAACTTAAATAGCCACCTTTATTTTTCTATACCACTTCTTGTTATTCCATTTCTCTCTGACAAGCTTTACTCACTCACTTTCCATTTTCATGAACGGTTGATTTTTTTCCCCAAAAGTTTTGTAGCCCAGGAAAGATTGGTAGCCACGGATGTCCATTTGTTATCATCTGCACAGAGAAATCTACTTTGCAGGGACACAGCATTTCAATGTCAAAGACAGCCATGATGGATTACGTCTTTAAATTTCTCAAGTGAGACGAGCCGAGCTTACCAGAGAACATTCCAAGAGGATATGATATATCCTTGGTACAGAAAAGAGTAGCTCTCACCCTCCATGGGGGCACAATCAAATAGCATACTGGACATTCAAAATCAGCTTCTGGTTTTCAACCACAAGAAACTACGGCTTGTAAATGGGACCCAGCACAAACAACAAGCAGGGATTCCCAACAGCCAGGGGAACCTGGCAGCAACTTTGCAACTGCCTCAAGAAAGCTGAAGGATTATGTAAGAAAAAAAAAAAAGAGAGTAGAAGGAAGGTGCAAAAAGAGATGCATTCTGAGAATAGGAGAAGGTAGATGAAGAAAAGGGAGCTTGTGTCATGCTTTGGATGGTTAAAAAAAAATATAAAAATGGGAATAAGGTTCAGGCACCTATCAAAATCCACCTTTAATTAAGCAGGCATGGAGGGGAAGGTCCCAGGAAAGCACCATTTATTGAAATGTTGAATAAACAGATTTGTACTTTCAGACTTGCAAGATTATGTTAATGTAGCCTTACAATAAAGTAGAATTAATTCATCTGGTCGTGTTTTCTGTCTGGTCTACCTGGGAAGACTGACAGCAATCTTGCAAGCCTGAAAAATCAGGCCATCAGCTTTACAGCCTGGGAAGCTAGGGAGGGTCCCTTCTGAGCCTCTTTCTCTGTCCATTATGCAGCTGTGGGCTATGCCCTCTCTTATCTGACTCTTCCCTAGGCAGCATCTCTTCGCTCATCTTTCAAGGTCTTTCTCACATATACTTGGTTAGTTCTTTTTTCCAGACTTAGCACCTTCTTTGCATCCATCCTGCTTGGTTAATGTATGAGCTCAATATACTACCCCAAACCAAAAAATTGGATGACACCAGAACCAGGTTAAGCATGCAAAGAAATTAGTTTGAACACCCCCCCAATGGTGCATCAACACAAAAAGATTTCATCATGGAACTTTTTGACAGAAGGATTCCCCACCCTCAACCCCACTTACTGTGCTGTGTGAAATAGTGAGACATCCATATTTCACTCCACACTTCCTCTTCTGCCACACCTTCCGAATTCTAGGACAAGCAAAAAGGAAGGACAAATGAACACAATATTGAGAATAGCCTGTATCAGAGGCCATCAAATGCACATGTTGTATTTCTTGCAAAGCTTCCTATCAGAGATGGATGGATGAATGAATCGATCTATTACCTACCTACCTACCTACCTACTAAATGTATAGGCTGCCTGAATCTATCATCAAGCAAGCAAGGTGGTGGTAAAGAGAGAAATTGAGTAAAACACTTTGGTATTGTAGAAGCCAAACAGGAATGCGTAAAATATACCATTCAGGAAATGGGACTTTCCAGGAAACACCAGAATGTTCTTTTGGTCTTCCAGACAATGTCAATCTGGCAATTCCAGGGGTGATCCTACAGTCATTCATGGTGTCACAGACATGGTCTGGCTCCAAAACAGCATGATCCAAGAAAAAAAAATGAGATTCCACTATTCCTGAAATAATTCATTTCTGAAAACAGTACCTTTTGTACACATCCTCACTAAAGATTTTCACTGTTGTGAGAACTTTCCCAAGGAAAATATTGTAAGCCTATTTCTCAGATGTAAGAAATGGAAGCGACTCAGATGACAATCCTTTTCTGGAGCTATGACCAAATATATAATTTCTGAAAGATGTCCTCTTGATTAGATGATGACAGCTTTGGAAAGGCTGCCTTAGAAGAACTGAGGGTATGCAGTCTAACAAGCTGCCTTTGGAAACAGGGAGAGAGTTTGAGCCCTTGAAAAATGATGACATCTCAGAAATGGATGGGTCAATTAAAATAAAATGTTGATAAGGCATTTTCTGAGGATGCTGTCTTCCTGTCAGCGGGCACTCCCATTTCATGCCAACTCCGGATCTCTGTGTTTGCAGAACATCAGCTAGTTTTAAGATCTGGGTCAGCCCTTTTTTTTCTTCTGGCCCCGTGTGGTTTATTTGAAATCGGAGCAAAGCTGGGGTGTCTTTGCAATTCTGCAACTTGTGGGCAGTCCCCTTCTCCATTTGCAAGAGTTCTTGTGTCGGCCTCCAACCAGCCCCTAGGTTTCAGCTCCTGTAGGAGGTCTTAATGACTTTTCAGCTCCCTGCTGTAGGCAGCACTCAGATTTTTTTTTTTTTTTGCATCCAGTCAAACGAGTACACTCAGCATAAGGATGTGGTTTTGAAGGGTGAGAGTGGGTTACAAGCTATTTGTTTTATTTCCCTTTTGGGTGGAGAAGGGGAAAGGAGACGTTTGTTCTCAAGTATCTGTAGCAGTTCAGAAAAAGGTTATGACTCTTTGACACATACCATCTTCCACCTGCATTGAGGGATTGGGGAATGGAAATAATGGTGTTTGAAAGTGGTTTATCAATGCTTATTTCCACCCACCCCATCTTGTGATGTAGCACAAAGTACATGAGAACTTACCCATCGCTCTTCTTATACAAGAAACCAGACTTCTCGGTCCCGTACTGCTTATTGCCTTGATGCTGATGGATGCTATACCCACTGCCAGAGTTCTTTCTGTTGAGGTTCTCCTGAAGTTAAGAGAAAGAAATTGATTTATTTGGCACCGAGACTGCCTTGGCATCCCCCAGCATGGTGTAAGCAGTTTGGGGATTCTGATAGAGCTATGGGCGCCCTCGCAAAACAGCTGCTGGGGGCTTGTACATTCATGCAACAGAGAATGGCCCTGGTTTACCATCTTGTTGTTTGCCCCACCCTTTATCCCCACCTTCATAAACGCTCTCTGTTATTCTGGCTTATTGCTATCCATTTTGGAATGGCAGGTAGATGCATTTACTAAGAAAGCCCTGGGGTCCATTTCTCTTATTTATTTTCTAAGAAAGTCAATAGAACTCATTTGGGACCGAGAAGCATTCTTCTAAATAAAAGTAATGCTGGAAGCTGGCAAATCCTTTTTAAAACATTAAAGAGCTGGCAGGCACCAAGGCAGGAGTCCGTACACCAACTGGCACCCAGCAGGTGCCCCTCAACGGCTCCCAGGTTATCTCACTGAATCCCACGCTGCTACTGCTCAGAATCCCTTCTGGAACCCCCCAATGGCTCCCTTCCACATACGGACAGCCAAAGCAAGCTATTAAAAATCCGATCTGCCAGGCTGGCTTGATTTAGCTGAAAAAAGATAGCAAATTAAAAATATTCTGGGACATTTTTATAGACTAGTAGCCTGTTAATTAACACTGTTGAAAGAGCATACAAATCAGGGATGATGGGGAGCAGTTGGATTCATAACCGTCTAAAACAGTTCCTTTCAAACTTGGCAACTTTAAGATATGTACCAATAGAAGAGAAGATTTAAGATATGTGAACCTCAGCTTGCTGGCTGAGGTACCAACATGTTGGCTGGGGAATTCTGAGAGGTGAAGTCCACACATCTGAAAGTTGCCGAGGTTGAGAAACTTATCTAAAAGAGGGACCAGCAACTTTTGAGTCACCAGTGGACACACTTAACTTTCTTTGCGGGAGGTAAAGACTGCAAATGAAAACATCCCAAATGTTGTGAGGAAGGATGAGGGAAATTTAGGGAGATCATGTTGTTCTTTAGCTATGATATCCTTTCTTTTTAAGTCAGTCCACGCAGACACACATATATCCATACACACATCACACATGCCTGACCACTCATACATATATGCATGCATGCAGAGGGGGCCAAAAAGTAGGCAAAACTGCAACTAAATGCAGCCTGATTCAGTAGGACATATGCACAAATCAGTGTGGTGCTCAAAAGCTCCTTCAAAACATATGACTAAACTTTTGCAAAGGACAAATCATCCAATCCATTGCAATTTCTCACAGACCCCTGAAGCCCTGATTAAGCCTTCCCCTCCTTTCATCCTCTCCCTTCCCTCCCACAAAGGACCCTTCAAGCTTTACCCCTTTGTTTTCCAGCTGCAGGATGCCTCGGAGGGAATCACGGATCCGAGTGAGTTGCTTTACCTCCTCTTCCTTAGCCTGGCGAAGCTAAAATAAGATTAGAAGTTGCTAAGGACAAGCAAGTTGGAGTTATCCCGTCATTCTTATGGACATCCTCAAGCATTGCTCTCTTCAGCCCAGAAGATTACAAGGTACAAAATAATGTCAGGCCTTAGAAGGGACCAACTTACTTTAATGTAGGATCAGTAAACTTTGGGGAGTAGAAAGAGGTTCTACTGGGTCTTGCAAAACAAAAAAAAGTAAGGTTTCTTCCTCCCTTGTCTCCATGGAAATTGATTTTTATGTAGACAACACCACCTACACAGATGTGTGGGTTAAACCATAGTGCCCCCACCTCCTTTGATTTCCCCCAGCTTCCCATCGCTGTCAACCACCATCCTTAATTCTTCAGAAAGAGTCAGGTAGAGAATTGTTCACCTTCCAGGTCTCCTTCAGTTTGATGAAACAAAAATTGCTCTTGGATTTTATTTCAAAAGAGAAAAGAATCCCAAAGAAATCATCCTGTGGGAATACAGGAGGGGGCTTGTTTAGTGACAGTTTAGGCAAGGGAAGTGTGTGGTTCTTCTGCTTTCCAATGAATAGTCTCCCCCCCCCCCAAACACTCTGTAATCTTCTTGGCTTTGATGAAATCCCAAGAGAAGACAGGAGACAGGAGCTCTTTCCATTGTATTTTCTGAGTTGCAATGTCCCTGTTAAAAGGAAGGAGTCCTGCCCTTAAAAAATTCTTGGATAATTTCTTGTTCTCCAGACAAAAATTCAGAGAAATCATCCAGACAAGCTTCTCCACCCAGCAGCTTGGTGGAGTATTTCAAGAGCTCATTTGCAGCCACTCTACCTAGAAGGATGTTACACAGAGCTTCTTTTTAGCAGAAGATTGAGTCCCATATTACTTAATTATTGTAGTTTTAAGTGTCTGATAAGAGTGAGGAATTAAAGATAGTGACCAAATCATTTCTGGCAAGTTTCCCATCCCCACTTTCAAAATTCACAACTCTCAAAAATGTAAAAGAGGAAGGTAGCTCTGTAACCTCTCCCCACTACCACATCTCTGTAAACACCCTGCAACAAAGCCAGAGAGATGGCTACTTTGCCCCCACATCTACACCAACAGCTCACAGGCCACAGACAAGATTAGAGGCACCTTCCCATGCTTTTCCTCCAATATGATACATGCCATCATCTGTTAGCAGTGCCGCTCTGAATTATACATAGGATAAATGGGACAAATTTTGCGCAAAACACAAGTTCAGTCTCAAAACAAGGACAAAGTAGTATCAGAGCATTTCAACTTCCCAAGAGACATCCTAACAGACCTTCAAGTGACTGTTTTAGAAAAGTGGGACTTTTAACAGCACCATCAAATGAGAAGTTGTTGAACTCACAGACATCAAAAGGTTTCAGGCAATCTCAGAAGGTGTCAACAAGCACAATGGATTTTATCACATTACAATTCTTAATTGATAAGGTACTGGCAATCTGTCTCACATGTAACCTACGTCTGCATAACCAGACTAGCTTCCCCTCCACCCCCCATTTAATTCCAACATCATCTAGCTATTCTATGTACTTCAGCTCATGAAAGTCTATCCCTTCTAATAAGATTTGTTAATCAGAAAAGGTGCTACCAGACCTGAATTTTCAGATGTTCAGAGTAGCCTAGCCAAAATAATTTCATTGGCAAAAATACAGAAATTGGTCCCTCCAAGTGGGCCATAAGCAACTGAGAAAGCAACACACAGAGAGGGAATCTTAAGGACCAAGGCAACAGGTGTTGAGGATAAAGATTCAAGGGATAAGTGGGAAAGAACAGAAAACCAAGTTTTGATGTGGGATTTGAAAGAGAGCAAAGACTACATTTTCCAGGAGGGAGGACCATGCGTGGAAAGGAAACCCAGAAGAGAAATTGAAAGGGTAAGCATGGCATTCATTGAATGGGTCCGGCTAAGCATGGCAAAAAATATACTTCTTAAAAATCTTGCAACCCAGTCCTTTTCCTACCTAGAAAAGCAATGCTTCTAAGTCAAGAGTTGAAAATGTGGTTAATAGTCACAGTGAAAATCCAGTGACAACTTACTGCATGTAAGGAGGCAGCTAGCTTTTCGATGAATGGGTAGAGGTTCTGAGATGCCTTCCAGCCATCTTGGAAGAAACTGGAAGCATTTTGAAATCAGCGGGGAAATGTTTAAAAGCCAGGGATGCGGAAGGAAAGAGAGAAAACATCGAGAGGTTAGCCCATAGGCTGCCACAGAAACAGGTACACAGCCACATTTCATATGATTTGAAACGGCCTTGAGAACGTGAGCTCTGCTATCACCAAAAAGCCCATCAAAAGGAGTAATGTTGACAAGCAGTCATAAACTGCAGACCAAACTCTGTAGTGCACTTACTTATGCTGCGCGTGATAAAACTTGATCAGACTCTGCAGAAAATCTGGCCCTTGCTTCATTTGGCATTCATTGGCTTTCAGAAGATACTGGGCAAGAAAAAAGGAGCCAAAAACAACAGGTTACAATCTGAAGATAATAACTTCCTCAAAATGCCAATATGCTGTTAGTAAGAGAGATACTGCACAGGCCAACCTGTTTGTTATTTACTTGCCATCTAGTTAAGGGAAGCCCATTTGTATATTATATAAGGGAAGAAAAGGCAAGTAACTGATTAGCATGTTGAAAAAAGTCAGACTGAATCAGAAGCCTGACATTCATACAAGAGGGCATGGCTTTGACTCAAGAACAGTCTTTGTGTTATTCGGTGCTGTGTAATGATCAAAGTGTTAAACAAGGACTGGGAAGTCCCATAATCCAGATACGGAAGCTCCTGAGAAATTTTGGAACGGTCCCTCTCTCTCAACCCAATTCACAAGGCTGTCATTTTGAAAGAAAATGGGATAGAGAGAATATTAGGTCTTGGGAGTCTTGAGATCTAAGAGGAAAGGTGGCATACGTGTAATAAATAAGATGTGAGCACATCACCTGAATGTTTACGTATCCAATAGCTTATAATACAAAGGTGACCCAGAACATGCTGTGGAGAAGAACCACAATAGATTTCACCGGGCTGCTTTCTTGCTTATGCACATGATAAAAATTAGTAAAGTATCACAAAGAATCCATAGTGACCCATACTTGGCATTATGCTTCAGTATAATCCAGTGTTTCTCCCCTTGCTGGCTGCGGAATTCTGGGAGTTGAAGTCCACAGGTCTTAAAGTTGCCAAGGTTGAGAAGCACTAGTATAATCAGTGAACCAAGGAAGGCTCTCAAGAATTTCTGCTCTTGGCCATTATTGTCATGGCTGAAATGAGCAAGCTTGTACAATCATGAAGAAGAAGCATGAAACATTTGGCCAATGAGTCTACTATGAACCACAGTACAGTGGTACCTCAGTTCACAAACGCTTCTGTTCACGAATAATTCGGTTTGCAACCAGCACCGTTCGCAAAATTTTGCTTCCGTTCGCAAACTCCGCATCGGGTGACGAACATGACCCGCGGCCATTTTCCCTGCTGTGACACGAGGTTGTGGCTTCCTGTAGGGAGGGGGACTCTCCCTCCAGACAATACCCACCTCCCCACCCGCCTTCCTGTCCTCCACACCAGAAGTCGCCTCAAGCAAGGTTAGTGTTCTCTCTCTTCATGCTGTACTGTACTGTACTTTGTTTCATGTTTTTGTGGTTTTTTTAAAAAAAACATATGGTTCAGAACGGATTAGCTGTATTTACATTGAACCTTATGGGAAAATTTGATTCGGTTGGCGACCAAAATCGGTTGGCGACCACATTCGTAGGGGTCAGAACGGATTAACCGTATTTACATTGAACCTTATGGGAAAATTTGATTCGGTTGGCGACCAAAATCGGTTGGCGACCACATTCGTAGGGGTCAGAACGGATTAACCGTATTTACATTGAACCTTATGGGAAAATTTGATTCGGTTGGCGACCAAAATCGGTTGGCGACCACATTCGTAGGGGTCAGAACGGATTAACCGTATTTACATTGAACCTTATGGGAAAATTTGATTCGGTTCGCGACCAATTCGGTTTGCGACCAGTGTCGCAGAACGAATTAAGTTCGTGAACCGAGGTACCACTGTATAAGCACTTGGCCTGACTGAGAGACTTGTTCCATGTTCTGCATCCTTTTCTGAAATAGTCTCTCAGAAGCACGAATATAGAAATATCAGTCATAATGATATATGTACTCCAGCATGAATGAAGAAATATCGCTTAGGCTAAGTTTGTAGAGTATAGCGCACCTGTTTCGTATCAGACCATACATGGCACTCCAAAGGCTATTGAGCACAATTCATTTTTTTTTATTGTGCTACTTTTTTTTAGAAAGTAAAGTGCCAAGAGTCACTAGCAGTCGAACATTTTTTAAACCTATGTAAATAAATAAGTAAATATTACGTGGATATTTTTTCCTACTAGTTTTCATTCAGCTAGCAATTAGATGCACAATCCTGTCTCCAGCAATCTGCAACCCCTTGGCTTTCCATGCTTCAATTAAATCGTAATGGAAAAATGGCACGGGGGGGGAGGATTTTTTTCCCCAGAGGCATTGTAAGATGGCAAAGTTTAGGCAACGAGGGAGATTTCAGAGCAATGGAAAGATGTGTAACAAAAATGACATCCATGGAAACATCCTCAGTAGCTCCACTATTACATAAGCTTAAAAACACCACCAAGACAAATTAAAAAAAGAAAAAGAAATCTGAGCATTAATGTTACTAGCGTTGGTATCTGAAGTTCTTTCAGCATGCAGCGGATCCAAGCTGCCCTACAGTCTTTCACAAGACTAGGATCTGTTTTCCCACGGAAAAATACACTCTCGCGCACGTATATCTGCGACAGAGAATCCATGTTCCATCTGGTCGGTTGAATCATGCCAAGTCTTGTGAGAAACCAGAGAAATTTTAAGAGTGATCATTCTGGGAGGAAACAGTCCGTTGTGCTTCTCCTCCTCCTCCTCCCCCCCCCCCATATCCTCTTTAGAATTCAACCCAATGTTTCAGCTGGGAGAGATTTCACAGTGATACAATGAAAAAGCACTCAACACAGCTTGTGCCAGATGCCCCCAAATGCATCAGTGGGGTCTTGCCGAAAAACCTGACCAGCAAGACTCGGTACGTCCCACAGGGGGAGGTGTTGGGTTTTGAATCCCTTATGCTTCAGAGTGCTCCAGACCGTCTACGCAGCGTAGCTTTGCAAGCGAAGACAGCAGCAGTATTTATGCCTTTCGCTGTCTGCCTGCCAGCAGTGTGACTGAATAAGAGGCCAGAGAATTGAAGGTTCAAAGACATTAGGGCCAGGATAATCCAAACAAAAGGCCAAGGGAAGGGAGGCATGTTTGGGTAACAGACTTACCAGCATGAACACCAAGTAGTTCTCATCTGCATTCGGTGTAGCACTGTATCTGGAGGAAGGCCACTACGTCTAATTGTACTTAAACTTAAGCATAAAATGTAGTTGGGTTCATGGAGATTTAAAGCTGTGTGTACAGGGGCAGGTATGCAATTTCCAGGGATTACAAAAGCAACTAGTGGCTAGGCCAACTCATTCGTATTGCCCCTAACATGGCTTATTTTATTTTATTTTAATTATTTTATTACCATTGATATTAATGCTAAGCAGAGACTCTTCTCTGCATTATTTCAAACAGTTCTCACTGTACTGGATGGAAATGAATTTGCTTTCCACCTCTCTTTCTAAGGAGCAGAGAAATGTAAGGTGTGGCATATGGTGTTCTTGCACTTATTTGACAAAGGGGTGTGCACCAAGCCCTGTCACTCGCCGTGACACTCCTGTATCTGGTGTTCCACAATTGCCTTGGCTTCCTGCATGCACATTCAGTCTCAAGGGCAAACATCAGGACAGAACTCCTCCCATGGGGCTTCTTCATTATTGGTGCTACAGCTTTCACTGAGGCAAAGTTGGAGGAGATGTTCAGAGAAATTGAATTCAGAGAGATCTCCAAATTTGGTGGAGAACTTCAACAGGCCATTGGTGCACACCTTTAGTGTATATTGTGCCTTTTGGCATAAGGATTCTTTCTTTCTTTGGGTGTGCCTTCAAGTTGGTGTTGATTCCTAGCAACTGCTTGTCTTAAGAAAAGCAACTGCTTTTCGCCAATCCTGGTGACTGCTTTTTGCAAGATTTTCAGGAATGGCTTCCATTGTCCTTTTCTTCCCAGAGGTGAGAGTGTGCGCCTGGACTAAAATTACCCAGCTGGCTCCATGCCTAAGGCAAGACTAGAACTCACAGCCTCCCGGTTTCTAGTCTAGTACCTTAACTACAATACCAAACTGTCTCTCTATGATGGTTCTACCATCATTCTTTACTTTTTTCCTCTGGATTCTCATAACAATCCTGAGAAGTAAGATCAGGCTGGGAAGGAACCACTGCTCAAAAATCAGCCAGTTACCTTCTTGGCTGAGTAAGGACTTTGATCTCTAGGCCAACTCTCAAACCTACATAGATTTGTTATAGCAAGCGGAAATCTGGGCCTTCCCACTCCCACTCCAAGATGACCACTCCTTCCCTGATTCCTGATTGTAGGTAAACCACAGTCCATAATGTGTTTTGACTGATTCTCACTTAGGACACTGAGCGCAATACATATTGCAGGATTCAATGATTTGTGGCTAACTGCTGACCATATTGAGTTTTATTGTTATCACAGAGGTTAAAGAGCATTCAGCCAAGCCGGTTCACTCAATACAATACTTGTTCCTAGTTCCTCAAGAAAGATGATGTCATATACATTGAGGAAAGCCAGGCCAGAAAGGAAGGGTGAAGAACTGTCATTATCTTGTAGATCAGTGTTTCTCAACCTTGGCAACTTGAAGATGTGTGGACTCAACTCCCAGAATTCCCAGCCATGGCTGGCTGGGAATTCTGGGAGTTGAAGTCCACACATCTTCAAGTTGTCAAGATTGAGAAACTCTGTCGTAGATAATGCTGCACTACATGGGCCAACCAATGGCGTGGCTCAACCTATCACTGCTTCCCACATTCCAATATGACCTGAAGATTTTTATCAGCTATTACTGTAACCATGAGGGCTGCCAAGCAGCAGTCTAGGCATCTTTTACTTCACAGCCAGAATTTTTACTCATTTTCTTCCCTGTTGTTTAAAGAGATAAGCAGAAATCTGGCTTTAAAGCTTGAGGTGAACAGTAGGTGGCAGCACTCAACCAACCCTATCTCAGCTAAGCAGGTCAGGCCCAGTTAGGATTTAGGTGGAAGTCATCCAAAGAACATCAGGACTACCGACTAGACCAGGAAGTCCGAAAAATGTACAGAAAAAGGCAATGATAAACCATTTCTGTATTACTGCCAAGGAATGTGTCCATGAAGTTATTAAGAGTCAAACTTAAGGAGACTTTACCTTTTTTTTCTCCAACCTACCACGCTCCAGATGTGTTGGGACTATGTCCTAGAATCCATAATCAATGTGCCTACTGACTGGGAA